AGCCTCAACTCGGCTAGTCCTTCTGACATTTGCCGCTGGCTCTGATGTCTCTGTAGTGGTTAAACATAAGATATAATTCATTTTGGGTAAAACTAACAGGCAATCTTTGGTGTTTATTCTGTTAATCTATTAATATGTTTAAATGAAAACGAAAAGAGGCAGTGATGTTTGATATAATATTTTGTCTTATTGTAAATACAGTGAGGAAAATTGCAGTAGCCAAGGCGAGCTGACTGACGTTATCAAGTACGCTGCTGTTTGCAGAATTACCGGACTTGCGCCGTCCCATCCGCGGGAGTTCACACTCCTGAGTCGAACTTGCGAAGTCCGAACTACCGAGGATGCAAGCCCGAAATTTGCGTACTTGGTATTGAGAAACGCGCACAGACCTACGTCACCAGACTATTTGCCTAATCTTCTCTGTACTTTAGACCGCGATGGAAAGCAGACAGCAGCAGGTCTGGGGGAAAAAAGTTCCTGGGACAAATTGTTCCAGGTAATTTCGGTGGAAAAGCGGCTAAAGGTCACATTGAGGGAAGTCGTGGCCTAATGGTTAAAGAGTCGGACAGCAGTGAGTAGCTCTTGGATGGGTTAAATCCAATGTATGGGACACCATACTTGGCTACATGTCACATCACTTTCACTTTAACCTTACAGAAACGTTTGCCCTGTGTTTTCAGTAAATTGCTTTTGTCTCGCATTTGAACTCTTCTTTTTTTGGTGGAGTGTGTGGACTTTCTTCAAGTGTTTTACTTTTGGAATACTTTTTTGGTCTACGCACCTCGGTTGGACTGTTTTGAATGCACGGTGAGTTCCTGGTTGTTTTCCAGATCACCTCAATCACCACAATTGATACCTTGGGCTTTGTGTGAAGCCATATCTCTTAGTTGCTAGTAGGGGGCTAGTGGACTTTAGATAAAGTATTGTTAGTTTTTATGTTCAGTGAGTGTGAGAAACACTCAGCAGGAGACTCAGAGCCGAGTCAGACCCCTTGTGTTCACCCTGCTGAGTGTGGAAGCAAACCCAAGGTATCCCGCCTGCATTTCACTGCCCTCAGAAACAGCACTATGACATCCGTTTACATCAAACTAACAAGCTCTGACAAGCCGTAAAGAGAAATTCTGATTTAAAGATCAATTTACCTGCAGGGCCACTCGTTTGAGTCGTTCATTATCCAGCTCTTTTCGGAGTTCACTGAGCTCTCTCCTGCAAAGTTATGAAAGAGGTTACAGAATTACGCAAATCAACAGAGGTTTTCAACCTTTATGTCATAAGTGATTTCTAAATACTTCATGTACAAATGAGATGACATTTCAAATGTGGATAAACAGCTTTTGTGCATTATATTTTATAGACATAATAACTCGACGACAACAGAATACAAGAAAACAAGCAGCATGAACCAAAACTATCACTTACGACTGTTGTGCCTTCAGTAACTCTATAGACAGCACTAGGTCCTTTATCTGAGCCTTCAGTTCCTCCAGTTCAGATCCTTTCTCCTCTTCCTTGTCAGGTTTTGGTTTGGGCTCAGGGGTGATATGGGTTGCTAAAACTGTTTTAGGCACCGTAGATGGTAAGGATGATGAGACAGATGTCTGCAAGAAAAACAAAACCCAGTGTATCAATTAGTATAAAACAGCAAATTACTCAATGCCATGTGTTTAGCAAACAATACAACTGTTAGGGTATGGAAATACCCTTATCTTTTATAAACTTTATTTCCAAACTAGTTCCCTGATAGTCTGATTTACAAGGATGACCTCAAACCAATCTCTAAGTTGTTTCCAGCTGAGAGACTAACGTCATGTTCGTAATTGCTGAAAACTTCTGCTTAGGAGGAACATTAATCATTCCACTTAAGTGTAATGAAATGAAACATTTCTCAGGCTAAAAATATGAGATACCACACAAACTCAGGAGGTGGTCTGGTCTGAGTTAATCCAAAGTGTGATTCACTTATAGTGTGCATTCTGAATGCAGAGCACTCTATGATTAATCTTTCACATACACATCAAATCAAAATATTTTGCTTTGTGTGACAATATTTAAAGTGAATAAAATAATGCATCAATATATTAATTATAATATTGCATAAATTCCTATATCAATCATTAATATCATTATTATTAATATCACTAACTGTTACTAGATATCATGCATTAATATTTAGATATACTTTATAAAATTAGATAGACTTTATAGAACTAGATATCATTTATAGAATAAACACACACACACACACACACACACACACACACATATATATATAACTACCGGACACCCAAACATGACTCAGATGATACAGTACAATCAATAGTGCACAATCAATCCCTTTCTTCTCTTTATTTCTGAAAAGAGTGACAGTGTGCAAATGTTCCAAATATGAGAACCATCTGTGTGAAACCAGACAGGGTTTTTTCAGTCGACTTCACATAAGCTTAACATAAAGAACACTAAATATTAAAATAAGTCCTCAGGACTGAAGACTCATTTAAAAAGGAGAGCCAGACATTCAGTCGAGATCATATCAGAGTTGCTGTTTATCTCACAAACATAATTTCATGGGATGTATTTTCAAGGAGCCACAGGCATCTTGGGGAATTGTTATTCTTTTGGTTAGCTTGATTCAGAAATTACAGAATGGCACATAAGATTCTTTCATTAAAGAGTTCAACCAAAAATGTACATTTTGTCATTATTTATTTGCCCACATGTCATTCTAAACTTGTAAATTACAGTATCTTCTTTGTGTACTATATATTTGAGGTACCTTGAACGAATTCTGTGTGGAAGATGCAGAGTCAACTTCATCCACTTTCTCAGCTTTCTCAGCAATTTCATTGCTCGGCTGCAAGACGTTCCAGAGCATGTTACAAAAACATGGGAAGAGAAAAGCGTGAATAGCACTATACTTGACACGCATCCCATCTGGGATTTCATTTGTAAGGCCTTTTTTATCCAGACAAAAACACTGCCTGATACCCATTATGCCACCCTTCACATCATAAGAAAAATGTTTTCTTTCTCAATCAAAATAGATGTAATAAATAAAAAAATAAATGTTAGTGCTTATGGAAGCACAAAGAGATTTAGAAGATACTGGTTTACTCATCCTGCAGGACTATGATTTAAAGGGATAGTTCACCTTCAGTTGCTGGTCCCCACTGAATTCCATAGTATGGAAAAAAAACACACTATTCAAGTCAATGGGGACCAGCAGCTGAAGGTGAACTATCCCTTTAAGGAACATCTCTGATTTCACCCATGACATTTTGTAAACTCTAAAAAGTACTAACACATAAACTAACACAACAATTCTCTGAACCAAAAACTTGAAAATTTCTTTATAGCAGTTATGGATGCTGACTGGTCAATACAGAGAATGTCACCTAATGTTTTTTTTAATTATACCATAATTTTTTTATGAAATTTGATGTCCTTATTATGTTTTCTTCTAGGTAAACACATTTAATTGGTTTTCTTAATAAAATAAAAATTTAATGAAAATTGGTGCAATATGTTTTATCTCCAAGTGGAAGGATGTCACTTAATGAATGTGCTAAATTAATGTTTTTAATTTTTATGTTATTATCTATGACTTTTTCAGTAGTTTTTTTTTAGTATTAAACACAGAGATCAGAGCCCAAGGCAACTAAGCAAAAGGGTGTCTTATACTCACGGAGTGGCCTCTGTGACCAGGAGGTCTTTTGCCAGGCATCTTTGGTCGCTGTGCGGTAGGGTGGGTTAACTTCTCCGAGGCAGAGGAGACATCGTCAAAACTGATGAGATTAACTATGGGAATAAGACACAAAAGATTCAGTTCAAACATAGAACAGCCTTTAGTCACACAGTCAAACATGTTCCATCTCAGCTGAATTATTATTTTGAAGTTATATATGAGCCAAAAAAATTTGTTCGCAGTTACATTAGCCAATTTAAAAGTCATAAGAGGTAATAAAGTAAGTTTGTCGAGATCAAAACCCAACAGAGCAGGAAATTACAATTCCTGACTGAGTGATGATGGTTATATAAAGATTGTGTCAAAGTTTGAAAAATTCCCGATCGATCATCTTAGTGTGGCTGTCAGTTTAATATCTTAAAATCTGGCATTAAAATTCTGTCTGATGGATTTTCCCACCGTTACCTACCTAACAATTTTACCCTATTATTCACCCTTTGGATGGTATCTCAGAGATTGCTGACACAAAAAAAAAACCAAGAACCAGATTCTCTTGTGAATACTGTAAAAGGCAGTGACCATAATGACATGAATATGACATTGGGCAAAAGCATGAAGCGCAGCATAATTTGAAATCACAAGTTTAAAGTTTGTCGATCGCGCATCTCAATGAAGCTGAACTCTCCTCCTGTCCGTATTCAATTCACACAGACCGATCGTCACGCAGAGAACACGCGATCATGCAGGATACAAACGCACACTTCATAAGATCTCACAACTGGATTCGACTAAGTTTGCAAGGTTTTTGAAATTAGATGTTCATTAGTCATTCAAAGATTTGTTTAAATTATATAAATGCGTATTTGCTGAATGCTGACGGCAAACAAGAAAGTATTATCATGTTTGCCTTTCTATTACTAATAATATAAAAGCAATCGTTATAATACTTTTTTGTATACATTTTAATTCCTTTGTTTAACAGTTCTATCTGATTATTAGACAGACTTCTGTCCATGGACAGAACTGTTAACGACGACAGCGAACAAGAGGGAGAATGTGAGCACTGTGTGTTCAGGCACTGCCGTTCTCAGCGCCGTCAAAATAAAAGTCCTGCCACGAATGCATCGGCCAAACAGAAAAACTTATCGGCCAATGCCGATATTTGAAAAATGGCAAATATCGGCCTTGGCGATATATCGGTCGACCACTAGTGACCATATACAAAAGATTTCCATGAAGTGTAAAATGTCTCTCATGGCTTCCAGTTAAACCGTCTCTCATGGCTTCCATTAAACCGAATTTAATGATTTTCTCCTTCCGATAGTGTCTAAAAATAATCCAGAGCCCTGCTGCAGTGACATGCTCATGACCTTTCGAGAAGATGTGATTATAGCAGCTTTGGTGCTACTTTTGTCAACCTTTCAGCCTGAAGCAACATCTTGGTGTTTTTGTGTCCACATACAGAGGATCAATTCAAATGTCATTTAACAAATGTTCTTTTACATTTTTTCCTTTTCATCTATTTCCGACTTTAAAGCAGATTGTAGACATTTTCCAAATAAAATACGGTGCCTACAAGGTAAACACCTTCCAGTATGCTTATAAGAGCTATTGCATTTAAACATGTCTTTATCACAGTATGGTAATGCATAAGAACTCAATACAATTCAATACAAACAGCTAGACCTAACTGGAACTTGTCAGAATAAGCTTGAGCTGACAGATTAGTTGCACTTATCTATCAGGCAATTTAATAGATTTTAATTACATTGCAGTGATTATAATAGTGTATCAAATGTCTAAAATATTTACAAGAAAATAAGATTCATAATTCATAGTAGCTGACATCTTTTAACAGTCGAAAAGACTTTTCTCAGATTGATAGTTAAGGGATTAAGGGACTGATTCAGAATTGAGCAGTTTTAATTAAAGAATGCCAAGATTCAAAACAGGGTAAATCTTCGAAAATAACTTGCCAATGACTTCTAAAAAGATTCTTTAAAAATCCCCCAAACAACAACAATGTAAAGATGGCACCCAGGGCAACTGAACAGAAATAATTGATCAGTCACTTCTTTTATCTTTCACAGGTAATTTGAACATTTTTAACCTGCTCTACAGATCTGGACCACCACCCTCTGTGCAGGAAGAGTAATCCTGCTCCCAGCAAGGGATCCATGGTGCTAATCCACAAACACAGCTCTTTTACACCCAAACCGAGCTGAGAAAACTGATCTAACAAGAACCAAAGCCATTCCAAACACTAACATTATGGCCTCTGTGCTGGTGTTTCTCAACTGGCGGGTCGCAGCTGAGTTTCAGTTAAAATAGTCAAAAAAATAATAAAAAAACTCAAAATAAAAAAGCACACCAGTTCTTATATGTTTTGTTGTTATATGTGTAAGAAGAATGATCTGGGTCTTTTTTTCCTGCAAACAATTCTAAACTACTTTGTTATGATTTTGTTGCCACATGATGGTCAATACAGTCCAAAATCAGCAAAACCAACTTACCTGTTTCTGAATTCTTCTCACCGCTGTCCACAACAGTTTTTGGCTTGATGGGTACAGGTTCGCTCTCTGGCTTTGTTCGTATAAGGGGAACTTCTCCATTTTGCCTGTGGGATTTATGAGGAAAAGTTATAGCGATTGCCCGCAACGTCCACTGTCACACTCTACATTCAAAAAAAAAAAATTTGATTGAAGATATAAGGTATCACATACATATCTTCTTCAGAAAAAAAATTCATAATGCATTGCAACAAGCTCAGAGTAACATTACCATGTTTTATCCAATATGGCAAAAAGAGAAATATACTGATATACTGGAAAATACTTAAAATACATGTATAAATATAAATAATAATCAAATTATTGTTTTTGGTTTAATAATATAATAATAGCTTGTGACACCAACACTTGCTTGGCGGCTGGTAATGGAATGAGAGGCAAGTCAGGTCGTTTTGTGTGGATGGAAGGACGTAGCAGTCCCTTGCTTGGAGGCACAGGTTTTTTCGGGGGCACGATGGGGCCAGCAGGTTTGGCGGGTTTCTCAGGCAAGGGCTTGACAACTTTAGAGAGAGAGAGAGGACAAATATAGATGTTTATATATGTTTGAGATAATAAATGTCTACCCAGACATAGCAAGACACAAGACTTATGCACAACATTGTATCTTATAAGGTTCTGAGAGTTAATTATCTAGATGCAAGATATTGTAATAAGGTTAATACATCAATATTATTAGTTCCTTCAATTGATAATAGGAATTCATATAACTATCAATTATTTGAAACATGCCAGTTGTATCTCTATTGATTCTTAGCCCACAATTTCAGAAATCAGTTGAAAGTCGTGAGAATGGAAGCTAATGCAGTAATGCATAATGCACCTAAATGTTCTGAACTGGTCCAAATGACTTTGGAAACTATGTTCACAGTGACGTGTCTCAAAGTAGGTCAGGAGAGATTTTGGCAGGATGTTTGCACCACATTGATCTGCTTCTATCTTCTCAATTCAATGTTTTTGTCATATCAGTCACTCTTTCTGACATTCACATCGCAAGTCCTGTGTTCAATTTGTGACACTTGCTCGAAATAAGAGAGACTTCTATCTGAAAAACATGAAGTCCTGCTTTCAGATACCACAAAGATTATCAGATATATGTTCCAGAAGAGGTACATTCATATGAGAAAATAATTGTCAGGAAGTCTTTGATGCCAACACAATAGCAGATACTCAGAGAGGCTGTTGGTCAGAGTGAATGACATTTTTCCTACATAGTAAAATATTATATGAAGTACTTCATTAACCGTGTTGAGAGTCCACACACCAGACGACCTTATTGACCCCCACACGCCTTGAGCTATATTAACTATATTAAGCTATATTAACTTTGTAAATAAGGCTGAGTATCGATTAGACTTGTGCCGGTATTCAGTAATGCGGTATATCGCGGTATATCACGGTAATGAATATGCACGATATTGTTATCGTGGGCACTTCTAAATACCGTGAATAATTATATATTACAAATTATTCCGAATTTTGAATGCATTTTAAGAATACTTATCCCATCGACTGGTCAAAATGCGAGATCAACTGCTATTTAACACTGTCGGTTCCAGCTGATGTAAACTTTAAATGGCATTTTATGTGTATGACTTTTATTATAAAACTGCTGTCCAAAGTTTATGGTTGGTAAGATTTTTAACGTCTCTTATGCTCACCAAGACTGCATATACGTGATCAAAAATACAGTTAAATCTGTAACATTGTGATATATTATAACAATTTATAGTTTTCTATTCTAATATTTTTAAAATTTAATATTTATTCCTGTGATGGTAAAGCTGAATTTTCAGCAGTTATTACTCCAGTCTGTCACATCATCCTTTAGAAATCATTCTATTACATTGATTTGGTGCTTAAACATTTGTATTATTATCAATGTTGAAAACAGTTGTGCTGTTAATGTTTTTGTGCAAGCTATGATAAATTTTTTAAGGATTTTTTGATGAATGGAAAGTTCAGATGAACAGCATTTCTTTGAAATATATATATTTTTGTAACATTATAAATGTCTTTACTGTCACTTAAGATCAATTGAATACATTCCTGCTGAATAAAATCATTTCTTAAATAGCTATTAAATACATTTTCTTTAAAAAAAGAAAAAAAGAAAATCATACTGACCTAAACTTTTGAACGGTTGTTTAAAATGATAATAACAACAATAATCACCTCTAATAGAAAAACACTCTTTTTAAATAATCAAATGAGTTATTCTAAAATCTATTTAAAATAACCAATTATCAAAATCATCGAAGCTGTCTACATCGTGAGGGTTGTGATGTCAGGCTCTTGCTGTACACAAAGCTTATGGCTTTAGCAATGTAGTTGCATTGTGACGCAGTGCTTGTTTGTAGTGAATATTGGGTATGAAGCTGGAATGACAGCATTACAACAGTTCCTGATTGAAAGCATGCCTAAATAAGCAAGAAAGATTCTCTCCTTCGGTTACACAAACTCACAAAAAGTGCTTAGCAAATGAATAACTTAATAAAAATAAATTCACAATCAATTAAATTAACGCCATGAATTTTTTTGGAAGGGGGGTGGGTATTAACAGATATTAGTTATTTCAAATTAACCAATATGAAGAACTACACATCAATTTCTGCTTTTTCATTCTTCATGACACTGTGTGTCACCACAGTTGGCACACAAGAATTTGTGGTATAAAAGGAACTGGGCAGTGAACCCTCTCTTACCTTTATCTCTCTTTTTAAATAATCAAATGAGTTATTCTAAAATCTATTTAAAAGAACCAATTATCAAAATCATCGAAGCTGTCTACATCGTGAGGGTTGTGATGTCAGGCTCTTGCTGTACACAAAGCTTATGGCTTTAGCAATGTAGTTGCATTGTGACGCAGTCCTTGTTTTGAGTGAATATTGGGTATGAAGCTGGAATGACAGCATTACAACAGTTCCTGATTGAAAGCATGCCTAAATAAGCAAGAAAGATTCTCTGCTTCGGTTACACAAACTCACAAAAAGTGCTTAGCAAATGAATAACTTAATAAAAATAAATTCACAATCAATTAAATTAACGCCATGAATTTTTTTGGAAGGGGGGTGGGTATTAACAGATATTAGTTATTTCAAATTAACCAATATGAAGAACTACACATCAATTTCTGCTTTTTCATTCTTCATGACACTGTGTGTCACCACAGTTGGCACACAAGAATTTGTGGTATAAAAGGAACTGGGCAGTGAACCCTCTCTTACCTTTATCTTCAGGCCGTGACTGTGGTTGCTTCTTGTCCACACTGGGGGCCTCTGGTTTTAGGACTGAGAAACGAAGCATAATGACTGAGTTAATATGTTTTTTTTTTTGTTTTGTTTTTTTAAAGTACTACACTGAAGATAGAGCGGCTCTAGACACGGCAGATAAAAGAACAATGTGACTTCTGAGACAGACGTTTGAAGAGAAAAAGAAACATACAGTCAATGACTTGCATTTCCTGTGTGGGTTGACAGAGAGACAGACCAAATCTTTGCAACCCTCTATACAAGCTTTCTAAAAAGCAATTGGAATGATGCGGTGCCCTTTGATGCATAACATCCGCTTTTTTTGTTTGCATGTTTTGCAGACAAAAGCTGTGAGGGACTGACGACTTCATTTTCAGACATTACATCTGCGTCGCCAGATCATACGATTTTGTCCCCACCCTTCTAAACTAACGCTAGTCAGCTGTAAGTTGTTGTACCAGTCTTAAAGCCCATTTACACTTAAACAACTGATATGTCTTGATCGACTGGATTACTATCCAATCTACTATCTACGAATACCCCCTTACATTATTTGATCAAATAGGTTTTAATATCTTACAAACCATATAACTTTTAATGGCAGCAATTTATTGAATGTAAATATGATGAAATATAAAAGCAATGTTGCATAGCTGGTTAACAAATTAACCATAATAAAATTATAATGCTGTTTTCCAGCAAATGTGTTTATGAATTTATAGCTGCCATGGAGTTATATTACAGCTGTATTATAATATAAGATTTTTATCAAATAAAAAAATACAAAAATTTTTTTTTTAAGCTGCCATGGAGTTATATTACAGCTGTATTATAATATAAGATTTTTATCAAATAAAAAAATACTATTTTTTTTTTTTTAATTAAATTAAACAATTATTCCAAAACAAAATAAAGAAAGAAACTTCTTTAAAACTAAATGAAAAATTAAATATCTTTCTGGAAAATATAACATGCTGCATATAACATAATTTCTTTATGGGGTCAGTTAAAATAAAATAAAATAATTATTCCAAAAGAATAAATAAATAAATAAATACACTTCTTTAAAACTAAATGAAAAATAAACATATCTTTCTGGAAAATATTTTGCTTCAAAAAATCTCTAATTTTTTTATGGGGTCAGTGAAAATAAAGTAATTAAGCCAAGACATGGCTGCAACGGAATCCCCCCCAAAACACAAGCAATTATAAAATTATGAAAACATTATCATTGCTGCAGCTTAAGCTATAAATAGATGAAGAACTATGAAAGAATGTCCAAATCATTTTCAATATGCTGCCGCTGATGTGTGGGCAGACATGGGATCTGCGTTCAATGCAATAATTGAATATGCCAGATTAGCTGGCATCACCTCTAATCTTCTCAACATACACCAGCAAGCTCCTCTGAAAACCACAGGGGAAGTAGCTCAAATCAATATGCCATCTTGCACCAGTTATTATCCACTCACATACTGACGCAGACATATTGGCATGTTCCCTTCAAGTACCACTATTAAGGGCCATCAAATCATGTCAGCTGCCTGTAGCTAATAATCGAACAGCAACTAGCATATTTTAAATCTTGATGGTGGCTGGCAGGCAAAAACAAGTGAAAGATGTTTGATGACAATGAGCTTTAAAGGGATATTTCACCCAAATATGAAAATTCTGTCATCTAAACAAATAGCCACCCAAACAACCAAACAATTGCTAGTCCCCATTGACTTCCATAGCATAGGGGGAAAAAAAAAAAACTATGGAAGTCAATGGAGACCTGACATTGTTTGGTAATCCACATTCTTCAAAATGTCGTCTTCTTTGTTCAACAGAAGAAGAAAAAAATACATACAGGTTTGAAACAACCTGATTGTGAACAAATGATGACAATTTTCATTTCTAGGTGAACAACCGCCTTAAACACAGGGCTTTTGTGGCTCTTATAACATATGATTGCGAGAGAGGCATTGAGCATAACCTCAGCAGCCAGAATGAGTATGATGACACTTCAAGCTCTTTTATACCTCAGCGGTCTCATAGCAGCTTAAAATGAAAAGAGAAGAGTAAAGTAATGTAATCAAATGAATGCAATCAGTGAGATGTTAAATGCTATGTTAAAGATGTGACATCATACCTGGGGTTTTGGATGGTGGTGGAGGCTTCTTTGGCTTCTGTGGAGAAACGGCAAAAATAAATAAATAAACCTGCCATTTAAAATATAATTTAAACCTGGAAATAAAGCTTTTAGGTCTGTTAAAATTGGAAACAAATGATATATTGACATGAAATACAATATCTTTAACAATGTGCATTATTTCTAGGCAAATTTGTGACTTTGATCATGTGAACTCCTCTTTTTTTTCTCAGATTGTTATTCTGATTATAAATTGTAAATGACAAAAAAAAAAGCATTAAATCAGAATAATGACAAAGAGGGGATCTTCACCTCACACGTCAGGCTCCTATAATCCCCAGAGGCTGAATAACATAAAATACAAGTTTCTAAAGAGCTTGACAAGTTAAAATGAACAGGAACTGAAACAGATGAAACTGCTGAGGCTGGAAATCCCCCAGCCACCCCTTTGACGGCTCTGGAAGATTTGATGACTCTTGCTAACATATCAATGAATCGCTGCACTGATTACCAGAAAAAAACACCTTACTTAACACATATAATCACAGCAGGAGAAAGAGTTCAAACAGTAACACAGGCCTAGATCAACACATGCAACTGACATAGATATGCATCATTTATGATGAGGCCGACATGCACGACTTCTTTCATGTAAAGCGGGAGTCTTTTATGTACATAATTTCAGCACTCTTTCACTTATGCATGACCACTTACGAATGACCAATTATGCATGCTGATTAAGATGATCATATAAGGGTTCTGTCATACTCTAAGAACTAAACAAAAAGCGAATTTATAATTTAAACCCCTAATCAATATAGCATCTTGATTTAAGGCATTTAAATGATTTAACAATGTGCATTACCCATTTTCCACAAATATCCAGCCAAAATGTTCCACCTGGTGCCTAAAATTAAACTAAAATAACCTAAAATTAAAACAGTCTCTTAAATAAATGAGACCATGGTTGTATTTGAATCCAAGAAAATACACGTTTGCTTCTAAATAACATGCACTGACGAACTGTTCACAATAACACAATAAGACCAAGAACATGTAACAAGTAAGTAAACACAGTTCAATTTGATTTCATGTTGTTGACATTATTTTAAACGTTTTAGTTCACAGGTTCAGATTTTCCTTTCTAGTGTTCTAGCAAACAGATGCTTATGCCACTATGTTCTGGACTTAAGTAGGTTTATGAATATCATCATGTGGGAGAAGAAAATCTGAATGGACGTCCGTTTTATAAGCATACAGCAAGAGACTCCAGCATCCACACTGTGGCTTATTTTCTAAAACAAACCATGAATAAATGTTTGTAGTAGGGGTGGGCAATGCTTCTTTTTAGTATAGTTTTGTGGCTATTCAAAATGTTGCTTCAGGGCAAGAAATGGCCGTTCCAATTGTTATACATTCAGAGAGAAAATGAGCAAAGTACTGTCCAAAAAATAAAAAAAGAGCCAAGCAATTTGGAACTGAACTGCTGTTAAGTCCTGCTCCCCTCACTATTGTTAACACAGTCCCATTACAGGGAATAAAAGTTCATCAAATAAAATAGTGCTTTCAAAAAAAACAACAACAAATGTTTTTAAACTATATAACACACACACACACACACACATACACATTTATATATATTGACAGATAGATAGACAGATGACAGATACTACATTGTGTTTATTAAATGAATTTGTTCAACTAAAAAAAGAATTCATTCAGTGCTCAACCTGTGCTAGTAATATCGAAGCAGAAATTATTCCTACAATGGCGGTTTTCTGTAAATCAAGACACAGACACTGAAGTGAGATCTTACAGTAATAGCCATACATTTGCTTAAATTACTGTTGCAGACAGCTCAAACAACCTCAGTTCACAATTTAGAAGAAATTAGACTGAGACTGTCTGTAACCAACCCTATCTATGATGAATTGTGTTTGGGGCCAAAGGGAGGCAAAACAATTTCCTCTCCCTCAACATTAGAGACATACCTGGAAATCAAGGGCTGACGGGTTAATATTCAATCGCTCATGGCACACAAAGAAAAACAGTCAAACAGACTGGATCTTTTTGTTCAAATGTAAAATCACACCCCAAAAATAAAACTTCCAGTTCAACACTGAGGCTGATGTGTTTAAACACTTTTACCAGTCAATTTGGGCAATATATATTTATTAGGGGTGGAACGGTTCAACTTACTCACGGTTCGGTTCGTATCACTGTTTTAGAGTCACGGTTTCGGTATGGTTCGGTATGTGCTATGTTTAGGCAAAAACTATACTGTCAAATAAAAATAAATAAAATAAGAATAATCTATCTAACTACAAGCAACAGCACAAATAAATACAATAGAGTAAAGATACAAATAAAATAAACAGTGATTTTCTGTTTTTTTTAGGTAGGTCTAACATTAGTTTTCAGGTACAGAAATTGAATAAAGTAATGAAATGTAAAACAGCATTGCATATTTGACTGTATAAATTAAAGATTAATCTTTATTAAAGTTACAAAAGCTATTCAATCAAGAGCAGTGAGTGATTTCTTTGTTGTTGCAGTTTGATTCATATTAAGAACGTGCTGTCACTTTAAGAGAATGCACTGATACAGTACGTTCAGCCGGCTGTCTGCTATAGGATACTTACCAAGACGGGCATTTTGACATAATTTTTGTGTGAATTTGTCCATTTAAACACAATACTTCAGAGAAAGCTTAAAGTGCCCCTATTATGGATTTTTGAAAATTACCTTTAATGAAGTGTGTAACACAGCTCTAAGTGAATGAAAACATCCTGCAAAGTTTTAAATCTGAAAGTGCACCGAGTATAAAGTTATTGTATCTCAAAAGAAAGAGTCGACTCTGAATCATTGAAACGAGTCGTTTTTAAAATGAATCCCAAGCCGTTTCATGTTGACTTCAACATGATACATTAGCATATTGCCCGCCCACTTGTCGGTCTTTTCGCTTGGTCTGAATGAAAATGCAAATTCATTCTTTGCCACTAGGTGCAGCTTTTGGAGCGGTAAAAATAGCGGTTTCCCCGGTAACGCTGTACACAAAGCAGCACTGCGCTCACAAACGCTGCTTTATCAGGCATTACAGGCATGATGAAATGAAACTGAGACCAATCACCGTAGATTAGCGTCACGCAGAGGAGGGGTTTGAAAAAATGAATCGTTGAGCGAATCATTTGGGAGTCGTTGAGCAAATAAGGTAAAAATAAATGCATATTATAAGACAATGAAAGTGTTTTTTGACCTTGCATGCATGTCAACCTGTTGTTGGGGACTCCCAAAACCAAAATATGAACCTTTCATTACCCATAATAGGGGCACTTTAATATTTGCGCGCGTTCTGAGGCGCGGGTTTGCACGCTTCAGATGAGCGCACGCACAAATCTTCTCACCTGTGCGCGCGCTATCAGCACCCAGGTGATGACGGAATAAATGCTCATATTCCAGAATATGGCAGTCGCACTGAACAAGAGTGAATGGTTTGTCCACGTTTTTTTTTTTTCATCGCTGTTGTTGTAATGTATTGGGAAGCCAGAATGCGCATCCATCAACAGAAACATATATTAACCGAACCCTGTTTGTTTTACATGTTATTTATAGCAAACCATATTATAGATGCGTTGTCAGATTTAAGTTGAACCGCGGTCCTAGCGCGTGCCGAACCGTGTATGGGGAACCGTACGGTTAGATTTTTTTCTGCAAACCGTTCCACCCCTAATATTTATATTAATATTTATATATTAGGCAATGGAGACAACTACTACTTGATCATTTATATATTATTTTGATCAAATATAAATACATTATTAATAATAATAATAATAATAATAATAATATACTTCAGAGAGAGCTTAATATTTGCGCGGGTTCTGAGGCGCGGGTTTGCGCGCTTCGAATGAGCGCACGCACTAATCTTCTCACTACACTCGCGAGCTCGCGCCCTCTGGCTCTTAAATGTTTAAACTGGCAAAGCTTACATGAGTTTAGTTTAAACACAGATATCAATGTGTGTTGTTCAGGTCTCACCTATCAGCACGATGACTGGATTAAATGACTGCTCATATTCCAGCATGAGCAGTATAAGCATTGAACAAGAGTGAATGGTTTGTCCACTTTTTTTTTTTCATCGCTGTTGTTGTAATGTATTGGGAAGCCAGAATGCGCATCCATCAACAGAAACATATATTAACCGAACCCTGTTTGTTTTACATGTTATTTATAGCAAACCATATTATAGATGCGTTGTCAGATTTAAGTTGAACCGCGGTCCTAGCGCGTGCCGAACCGTGTATGGGGAACCGTACGGTTAGATTTTTTTCTGCAAACCGTTCCACCCCTAATATTTATATTAATATTTATATATTAGGCAATGGAGACAACTACTACTTGATCATTTATATATTATTTTGATCAAATATAAATACATTATTAATAATAATAATAATAATAATAATAATCACATCTTGGATACTTGTTTATTTGAATGCACTATTATAATGCACTATAATTGCAGTCAAATACAATTTACAGAAATTGCCTTCCTGTAAATGCCCTCTGTCCCCTTTACTCCTGATACAGACAGAGATCAATGCCTCATCATCTGACAGGACGCTTATAGGATAAAGGATTGATCATGGGCTCCCTGGAGTCCATTGGAGGAATGAACACTTTCACATTTTCATGAACTGCTCGCTGACCTCCACAACCCATCACATGAGCTTCAGCTCATCACATTCTCACTGCAGCATCACAAAGACAATCATTCACCAATGAGGTTGAAAATGAACAGATTTATTAAAAAAAAGAAAGAAAGAAAGAAAAACAAACACTTATGCCTTCAGCATATCAACCCATAACCTCATTCGGTGGAGGGATATGTGGCTTCACAGAATTTTTCTGGAAAATGGATGTGGCAGAGCATAACGTTTGCCCACACAAACCCTCTGTTTGTTCATGGTAGCTGGTGCTTTGAACAAATAATATGATTTTCACTGGGGGTGCTCCGATTGATCGGCTACCGATTGGCCGATAATCGCTTTGGGATGATTGATCGGCGGTCTCTATAAAGGCCGATCTCAAAAAACCAATCTCAAGTCTGCCGTGAGAGGTTTAGCACGACATGCAGCGTCACCGTCTCAGTCTCTGTCCGGCGCGGGTGAAATAATTATAATGCTGAAGTGAGGTACAGTCCATATTTCTTCATTAAATAACAAAGTAGCTCATTTGAAAACTTTCTGTGAGACATAATTTCACAAAGCGTGAGCGAATCACCACACGCGCTCTCTCTTTCTCTCAAAATGCGCTAACGGCTTCAAATCACATCGCGTCTGCACGCTGCACAGTTGACACAGGAATTGTCACTTGCACAATCGAGGCAGTGTCGCATCATCACTAAAGTTTAGAAATTGCATTTATTTTTAATTCTTGCCAGTGTTTAAACCATTCAACGCTCGCACACTCTCCTGGAGACTGAGCGCCCGCTTACGTACCACACATGGACTGCATACGCACTGCAAACGGAGTATGTGTGAACCCGGTGTAAAAGGCCGCCTCACATTCAGCTCACAAAATCAGGCTTGCGCTCTGTGTAAGCTATTGTGCAACAATTGCACGATTGTAAAAACAAAAATGCAGTGCATGATCAAACATTTAGGTGAGATAAATATATATATTTTAAAAATGTCTAAAAAATGCCCCCCTCCGCCCCTCAAACTAAAAAATCCCCTCTCACAAGAGTCACCTAAGAGGGGAATTCATTTTCAAAAATGAAATTCAGGCCCTGAATAGATGTCTAAAATTCCTGATTGGAGTCTTACTATAAATAATTCTACCAAATCACATCGCGTCTGCACGCTGCACAGTTGACACAGGAATTGTCACTTGCACAATCGAGGCAGTGTCGCATCATCACTAAAGTTTAGAAATTGCATTTATTTTTAATTCTTGCCAGTGTTTAAACCATTCAACGCTCGCACACTCTCCTGGAGACTGAGCGCTCATGCACACTCGCAGCGCACACACAATGTCAGGTTCACATTATTATACTCCGTTTGCAGTGCATATGCGGTGCGTATTTTTTCCGCGCTCATGTTAACGGATTGAAGCGTGCACACTGCACACGGTTGCGGTCCGGCAGTGTGTTCCAGGAGCGGTGCG